CTGTGGGGGGGGGGAGGAGGGGACATTTTCAGGAAGAGGCAAGGCATGGGGACCAGTAACAATAGCCCCCTCCTCACTTCCCCTTGGCCATATTGCTGTCACTCTGGATGGGAGTTTGAGACCCCTGATGTAGTGGCTTAGAAGGGGGGGTTAGTTGATACATGAGGGCTGAATGTTTTGGGCTTTTTCCAATCACACTTGAAGTGGCTGTAGATCAAGCCATTATTATTATTATTATTATTATTTTAAAGAGCCAGATCTTTGAAAGGCAGAGCACCCTTTCTCACAGAGGCAGCCAGCCAGTGTCCAAATGCAAAGGAGCTTAGTCAAGCTGGAAACTGGGTCTCCGTTCAGTAACATCCAGTTCCTAAGGGCTCTGGAATCTCTTCATCTAGATTAAACTGCAAGTGAAGTCCTGAGGAGACCTGTACCTGAAACAGTATAGTGACAACTGGAAATGACCCTAGTATAATTCCCCCCTTTCTCCACTCTACTCACAGGCTACTCTTCGTATCCTGACGAAACGTCTATATTAGACACACTATTCTCTTCCCTCCCGACTCTTCTTCTTTTTTTTTTTTTAAAACCAGGAGGAAAGAAGCCAGTTCAGCTTTTTTTAAGATTTAATATTTATTAAGTTGTATTTAAATGTTATATTCTGGGAAGAGTTATTCAGTGTGCTGGAAGTTTAGGGTAGGGGAGGGAGCATGGTGACATTTTTATATCGTAATTATCAGCCTCTGCTTTGTAACGGTTCAACAAAGGCTTCTTGTATTCAAAAAGTGGCAGGTAACTGGTTTAAGGTATTAAAATTGGATTGGTTATTTCCATCATGAGGGATTTGGTTACCTTGCTAAAGGCTCGGAGAGGGGCCTGTGCGGGGGTAGGGAGGTGTCAGCAGCCTAGATTCTGGTCCCTTATTTAAGCCTCTTGCCATACCTTTATCCCTCCACCGTTGGACTGATCTGCGGGGCAAATGGATCAAGTGCTGCTGATGGTTGGACCTCTTCGCTGCTCGATCTCTACGCTGACAGCTTAGATGCTACACGGCTGGATCCGCTGCTGCTTCGCCAATCCAGCAGGGAGGATCTGACCTGTAAAGCAAACATCCATATGAACCAGCTTGTGCTGTGTTGTGAATATTGTCATTTTAACCTTGTAACGCATCATTGGCTGTTAAATTGAATATTACAAACAAAGCAGTCTCTTAGCAGCCTGTCCGACGTGGGATAATATCGCTGTGATGGGACATTATAATACACAGTGTGCTACTAAACCCAGAAAGGTGTCTTCTTTTTTTCTCGGGTGGGGTGGGGTGGCTTGGGGAGACTTGGCACTGTACTTAATTCCATCACATTCATACCACTGTCTCCTGGCACGCAGCAACAGAGGTGGTCAGTGTGATAGAGGCTAAGAGCTGAGGAGGGTTTGCAATGATGAACACTGTTATCAGGTCCTCTGATAACATGCCCAATCTTCATAGGTCAGGGTGGTTTGTTGCTCTCTGGGCTCTCCTGTTTAATGTGTGATGCCCACAACCAAATCCCTTCCTCTAGCTGGAGCCTCAACAGTTTCTTCCAGGGACTTACCTAAGACATAGAATTCCTGCTCTCATCCATACAGTGGACAGTATTTGCACATGGTTGTCAGTAGGTTTCAGAATCAACAACCTATTTAGATGACTGAGTCATGTTATATACCTTGACTTTAGCAAGGCTTTTGATACGGTATCCCACAATATTCTTGCCAGCAAGTTAAGGGATTGTGGATTGGATAAATGGACGGTAAGATGGATAGAAAGATGGCTAGAAGGCTGGGCCCAGTGGGTAGTGATCAATGGCTCAATGTCAGGATGGCGGTCGGTTTCTAGTGGAGTGCCCTAAGGTTCGGTTCTAGGACCGGTTTTGTTCAATATCTTTATTAATGATCTGGATGAGGGGATGGATTGCACCCTCAGCAAGTTTGCGGATGACACTAAGCTGGGGGGAGAGGTAGATACGCTTAAGGGCAGAGGTAGGGTACAGAATGACTTAGACAAATTGGAGGATTGGGCCACAAGAAATCTGATGAGGTTCAACAAGGACAAGTGTAGAGTCCTGCACTTGGGACGGAAGAATCCCAAGCATAGTTACAAGCTGGGGACCAACCGGTTAAGTAGTAGTTCTGCAGAAAATGACCTGGGGGTTACAGTGGATGAGAAGCTAGATATGAGTCAACAGTGTGCCCTTGTAGCCAAGAAGGCTAATGGCATATTAGGTTGCATTAAGAGGAGCATTGCCAGCAGATCCAGAGATGTCATCATTCCCCTTTATTCAGCTTTGGTGAGGCCGCATCTGGAGTATTGTGTCCAGTTCTGGGCCCCCCACTACAAAAAGGATGTGGATGCATTGGAGAGGGTCCAGCGGAGGGCAACCAAAATGATTAGGGGGCTGGAGCATATGACTTATGAGGAGAGGCTGAGGGACTTGGGTCTGTTTAGTCTGCAGAAGCGAAGAGTGAGGGGGGATTTGATAGCAGCCTTCAACTTCCTGAAGGGAGGTTCCAAAGAGGATGGAGAGAGGCTGTTCTCAGCAGTGAGGGATGGCAGAACAAGGAGCAATGGTCTCAAGTTGTGGTGGGAGAGGTCCAGGTTGGATATTAGGAAAAACTATTTCACTAGGAGGGTGGTGAAGCACTGGAATGGGTTACCTAGGGAAGTAGTGGAGTCTCCATCCCTAGAGGTGTTTAAGTCTCGGCTTGACAAAGCCCTGGCCGGGTTGATTTAGTTGGAATTGGTCCTGCCTAGAGCAGGGGGCTGGACTTGATGACCTTCTGAGGTCTCTTCCAGGTCTATGATTCTATGATTCATGTCTCTGAAAACTATTGTTTGTCTGCAAGCTCAGAAACAAAGCAACTGTATGGATTCTAAGGCCAGATGCAACCACTGTGGTCATCTAGTCTGACCTCCTGTCCCGCACAGGCCAGAGACCTGCCCCAAGTCATTCCAAGAGTGGATCTTTTAGAAAAACATCTGATCTTTATTTAAAAACTCAGACTATTTCTACACTGCAGGCTTCTTGCGCAAAAAGTTATTGCGCAAGAGCATGTCCACACTGCTATGGATGCTCTTGCGCAAGAAAGCTCTGATGGCCATTCACAGAATGGCCATCAGAGCACTTGTGCTTTTTCCAATGGGGATTTCTTGTGCAAGAAACCCCTGTTGTCTGACCACACGTGCCTTTTTGTGTAAGAGCTGTTGTGCAAAAAGGCTTATTCCTTGTAGAAAGAGGAATAACTTGCACAAAAAGCCTTGTCTTCTGATAATCTACTGTACTAGTTGCGCAAAAACGCGCTTGTAGTGTTGACGCTCAGTGTGGTTTTGTGCGAAAACGACCGTTTTGGGGCAAAAACTCTGCAGTGTAGACGTAGCCTCAGTGATGGAGAATCCATTACATGACTGTTGGTAAATTGTTCAGCTGGTTAATCACACCTTATTTCCAATCTGAAAGTGTTTGGTTTCTACGTCCAGCCATTAGATCATGTCAGACTGAGAGCCTATTATCTAATATTGGTTTCTCATGTAGATAATTCTAGGCTGTAATCAAATCTTCCCTCAACCTTCTCTTTAACCTTAATAGAGTCTTTGAGTCTCTTACTATAAGGTATGTTTTCTTCTTCTTTATTCATTCTCAGGGCCCTCTCCAATTTTTCATCATCCCGATTGTGGATTGTGGGCACCAGAACTGCACACAGGATTACACCAGTGACAAATACCAAGATAAAATAATCTCCCTGCTCTTACTCATGATTTCCCTGCTTACACATCCTACTGAAAAGCAGATTGTGAAGGGCCTTGACTTTAAGCAATCTAGCCCCCTTGTGTATCATTCAGTATCAGAGGCAGAAGTTGACCTTCGAAGTGGCCCATAAAAGTTTCCATCACCCACTTACCTTTTCAAACAAGCGCCTTCATGCTTTTTCCCTTTGGCCACTCACGCCTGGGACGAGCCCTGTAAACAGCCACAAATCTTCGGGATTCTCCTCCTCCAGAAAGATTATTAGAATTGGAATTCTTCCAGAGAAGAGAATTGGCAGTCTTACAAAGAATTACTATTAGGGAAATGGACAAGCAGAGATTGAAAAAGACCAGGACTGTTCAACTTAGAAAAGAGATGACTAAGGTGGGGATATAATGCAGATCTATAAAATGCCCTGGAGAAAGTGAATAGGGCAGTGTTATTTTCCCCTTCCCGTAATGCATGAACCAGGAGTCATCAATGAAATGAACAGTCAGCAGGTTTAAAACACATAAGGAAGAACTTCACTCAATACACAGCCCACCTATGGAACTTCTTGCCAAGGGATGGTTTGAAGGTCAAAAGAATAACTGGGTAATAAAAAAAATTAGGAGGAGCCCTGTAATACCTTAAAGACTAACAGATTTATTGGGGTATCAGCTTTACAGAGGTGGGCACGACATCCCTAGAGGCCAGGATGGTGTTTTCAGGAAGAAACCCAATGCATTGT